GAGAGTCTTTGAGAAAGAAAAGCAATCCTAATTGTAAATTTCCACTGGAAAACAATGAACAGCTTATCTTAAATAGATTCAGTGGTTAATTACCCTTTCTGTTTAAAAATGTGTGCCTTATTTCCACTTCAAATGAAGAAGGAAAGTAATGTTTGCCATAGCTTCAAATTAACAGCGTTTGATCAGCCTACAGCTTTGAAATGAAATCTTCTCTTGTTTGCTGGTTTTTTATTGGTGTCTTATATACATGCTTTCAAGAGTATAGTAAGCTACTTTTTGGAAAGGGGGAATTGGCCAGCTTAGATTAGCTAGGATAGAAAGAATGTAATTCTTACAATAACTGTTTAGGATGAGTTTAGCAATTGGGGGTTTGAAGAGGATGATGAGCTCTCAGGAGAGGAGGCAGCGTGGCCAAGGAAACAAAAGGCCCTGAGCAGACAGACATGCTGTAATGCTGCCATATATTTCTGTGGGTGAGCTGTCTGTCTGTCCTGGGAGTAAGGGCTGTTCCTGGCTCCAGCAGTGTCCTGGCCCCTTTTGTTCCAAGACAGCGTGTGGCACAGCTTCCTGTGCAATGGCACACATCAGTGCCCAGGATGTAGAAAGGATTCAATGTTTTGAATCATAAGATGGGAATAAGGTGGGAATAATAAGGTGGAATAAGAATAATTTTTAAAAAAGGAAAACTAAGCTGCTGCATGCACTCTCCCATGCAGTGGGCTGCAGCCATTAGAGATCTCAGCCTGACCCCTTTGCCAGGTGATCCATGTCCAGCAGTGCATATCTGTGAGCACCAGCCACTTTGCTTTACCCTACAAGAGCTCAGACCATATTCATTATATCCTCAAGAGACATACTCTTTGTTTCACTTCCATGTTACCTTCCCATCCTGAGCTTTCTCTCCAAAATTACTTGCTGACATGCACCTGGCTGCAGGAGCTGCTAGAAATCTCCAAACCCAGAGAGGTTGCTGAGCTGTGAGGCTGGCTCATCAGTCTCACCACTGAAGAGGATAAGGAATATGACCAGGGACACCTGGGCTGGAAAGGTCTCATCTGTCCAGGTAAATAGCCTGCCTGCAGATGGAGAACAGTCAGATGGGCTCTCCAGTGCAGCAAGGCAGAGACAGGGGCTGAGCAGGGCTTTCACTGGGGACAGCACTGACTTCCTTGTGGAGGCCACTGTGGTTTGAAGAAACTCGAGCCCCTGGTTAACATCACACAGCTGATGTATCCAAACTCCCTGTGCCATGCCCCAAGAACCCTGCTGGCATTTACCAAGGTGGATCAAGGAAAGCTTCTCCTCCAAAGGGCAGGAAGGTGGGGAGGTGTCAGACCATCTCTGTTTCTGCAGTGTCACCACCCAAAGGGCAGCCCTGGCCAACTGCTCTGACCTTTGGAGTGGCACCAATGTCTGTGAGCAGCTCTGCCTGCCCAGCCTGTGCTGCCCAGCTCCCTCTCCTCCAGCACAGGGAAAGGGGTCAGTGCCTGCCAAGCAATGCATCTTTTTGCCTTTGCATGAGCTGGTTATTGCTTCCTTGTGGAATTTATCTAGTTTGGACTAGATGGTGCTGAGCAAACCCCAAGAACCAGCACTGGGACCACATCCTATCCAAGGGTTTTCTATCTCATCTTGAAAAAGGGGACAGACCTCCCCTTGGGGAGCTGTCAGCTCAGGGAAGCTCTCAGGTGTCCCAACTGCTTCTCCATCCTCCTGGCCTCAGCAAATGCCATCACTCTGCAGGATGTGTGCTGGGACCAGCTACACCTGCTGCTCTGCCTCTGCCAGTTCTCACGGGTTTCTTTGTGTGCCTCAGGCACTGTCAGATGCCTTGAGGAAAGGAGCTGTGTGAGCATCCCGTGACATGGAGCGCTGGGACAGGAGCTCTGCGAGTGATGATGGGTGGGGATCAGGGTGGTTTATGGGCTCACAGCCACTTTGCCAGCTACAGGGAATATTTTAGCCAGGGACACCTTGCATGGCGGCAGGGGAGGAATGCCTGTAAAATGTGAGACAAGCTCCCTTGCAGCTCAGAGCAGTGGCTGTTTCTCACCAGCCCTTGTCTATCATGTGCCACTATCACCAGGTCAGGTCACAGGAGTGTCTCCAATTAACCCAGCCCTCTGGTGAGCCTTAATTGGCACTCCAGGCTCTCCTCCTCCCCCTTCTTGCACTTCTTGAATTTCTCACCTCTACATCTGCTGCTAAGCCTTTGCTCCCAGCATCCCAGCCACTGCTGGGAACCAGTGACCATAACCCATATTTACTCCCTAAATCAAGGCAGCAGCCATCCCCTGGCATGGAGCTATCCTGAAGATGTCCCTGCTTGGTGCCCAGCATCAGGCTGTGTGGCAGGAGGAGGGGCTGTGGCTGCAGGGATGAGCAGGGGGCTTGGGGACAGGTATGGGCTTCAGTGCAGAGGAGCTGGGAAGTTCAGGAAGGCTTTTTGGTAGGTACTTGCTGGGAGAGTACCAGGGTGGGGGAGAGATGGCTGCTGCTGCTGCTTCCTCTTTCCAGAGACCACTGAACATATTTAACCCTCCACATGCTGCTCCCAGAGGTGAGCCATGTACCTGAAAGACCAGAGTTGGAGCAGGCTGCAGGACACAGCATGGCCTAGCTCATCATCCTGTCCCAGGCTTGCTGCTTTGCTTGGGGTACATGTTTAGGGCTGCCCTGCAGGTGCTTTGGGCATGGCTGGGACCCACAGGCTGCATCTTCTCTTGCTGAGTCATCTCACCATGGTTAGGTCCAATAAATGGATCTTCATCCTGCTGCTCTGGGAATGAACCAGGACCATCCCCAGGACAGAGACTCCTGCAGGTCTGTCCCACTGTGGCCCTGTCACCAAGGTCTCTGCAGCCACCCAGCAACACCTGCACAAAGGTAAGGGTGCTGCCCTGATCCAGATGTGAAGAAGCTGAGTCTGGGCAAGACACAGGAACTCCTGAGCAGGGGCCAGCCCTGGGAAAACTGAACACTGGCAGCTGGCAAGGGCTGGGGGAGAGGCCCGATGCTTTCAGGAAGAGCTGGAGGCTCATGGGCAGGGGGAGACCAGAGCTGGAACATCCTCCATGGCAGAATGTGGTGCCCAAACTCTCCCACAGCCCAGCTGGGGCTGGCACTGCAGGCCTGGGGGTGCCCATGGGGCTCTCCCAGCTCTGCTCTGCTCTCCTGGCCCTGCAGGACCGCCCTGAGTGGGGCCAGCCTGTCGGGACCTGTCCCTTTTAAGCCCTTGGAGCTGTTGCCAGCCGTGGCTTAGTGGGGTCCCCATCCTTTCAACTGGCTGTTCGGCAAATTAAGAGCTTGCTATTAGGCTGCTAATTAAAGGCACTTCATTAGCAGCAGGGGAGGCAGCTCCTGGCCGCAGCAAAATTGGATTCCTCTGAGCTGCCATGAGCCGATTCTCTCCTCTCTGGGGCTGGGGGCTGTGTCCCTCCGTGCCCGGGGAAGCAGCTGCCTCCAGCCATGGCCGGGGGCTGCAGCCGCTTCCCGAGCG